AGTTTCACTAACACTGCTGTTTTACTTTTTCAGACTGTGGAAATATACATGTGATAAATAGATACTCCTAGGACAGCAGACACTTGTGATTACAGCAGTATGTAACTCATATTGATACAAAACTAAAAAAAAAATAGCATGGTCACATCATTTTTGCCTACATGAATGTGCCTCTATAAAGGTTACCAGAATATCTGCAACATATTTGTATTAAAATCTTCCGCAAAAAAGAAAAATGGGAAAACCATTTGTTGGCATATTATGCCTGATGTGACAGGTGTAGTAATCCTGTTAGAATGGGTCATTAACGGGTTGTCATGGTGAATGGTATGAAAAACTCAATGAACATACGCACAACCTTACTATGTGCTCAATCATTGAGCTGGGTGTGAAAAGATATACCATCAATTACTGGCAGTTAGAATTAAGGCCAATTTATATTTGTAGCAATTGATAGGTGTCGTTAACTGATCGGCTTATAAGAGTTTTGGAGGGGTTTTGATATGACACCTGTAATGAGGAGTGCTTTCCATACGTCTATTCTATTTGTATAATGTTAACATATTTCTTTCCGTTTCAGAGTAAACTAACTGGTGGGTGAGAAATCCTTAAGGTAGCGGGATAGTTTTTTGGCATGAAAAATGTAAACATCTATAATCGGAATAAATTTTACAAGAACCTATACAATCTATATATGTTTGGAAAGCCCTTGACTTGTACTTTTCTATTATTAATATTTTGTGAACATTGTGTTTGTTTTGGCGTCACATGATTCTGAAAATCGGCGCGGCTGATAATTAACTAACGTGAATACATTTTTCATCATGCAACCAAAAACTTTACACTGTTTTGAAGCAACAGTCATGTAGTTTAAATCCGTATTTCTATTTTGTACATCAAGTTTGTTTTTCCTTTCTGAAAATAACAAATTTCTAGCAAGTTTTTGGTGTTTTCACGAGGTTTGTAAAAAAACGCAATAGAATTTCGCAAAAATGTAAATACGGATATGAAGCCAACATACTCAAGTGTAAAAAAAACCAAATGGCGACATTGTAGCTCTACTCATTGAAACGCCCAACCCCTATGGATATAATGGTATGGTCCAATTATTTCACATTTACTTGAATAATTCAGTTATTGTTATCAGTATGCACTAAGAATAGGGATGTTACATTCCACTATTTGTGTTCAATTTAAGTACTTCATGCTGTTAGTATCCTATAAACACTGATCATGAAAATCCCACCTACCGTCCCAGATAACTTATCATATTTTGCAGTTAAAATAAGACCCATTAAACGGTTATGGGTTTCCGCTAATCTTTACATAGATATTATTTTAGAAAGCATTCCATTCTTATCTTCAAACTCTTAATGGAAAATATCACCCGGATGTAGGTTGGATAAGAACAGGAGGGGGAAAGCAGCTCTGAGAAGAAGTTTGATTGAAAGAAGTATGGAACTAAACTTCAAGCTACTTAAGATTAAGGTGGGAATACGTTTTGGTTGACAGCCATTCATCAGATCAATTTCAAACTTAAAGACTTGCTAGAAAACGATTAACAGATAAAGCCTTCATGGTTAAAAAAACAAAAAGCATAAAATACCAGTAATGTACAATCTTTGGTGAAATTCGCCTTCATGAGAATGCTGGTATTTCCTGGATTAATCTAAAATGACTTTAAAACCTAAATAACTCATGATGAATGAACTCTATGAAACAAGCAACCTTATACATGAAAATATGCCAGTAGTGCTGAAATTCATCTCGGGGGATTCCAATATCAGCTTTCTATACTAATCTGACTTGTAGTATACCTGAACCACCAACTGAAATGAACAACGGCTGACACACAATAAGGTTAGAATTTAAGATTCGTGGGGAGATATTAACTTTCATACTTTAATCCTAGTAATCAACAATGAATGGAAACTAAAGTGTACAACACAGATAAAGTTACTATTATGGCAAGTATTACGCTCAATTCACTTTTGAAGAGCAGATATTCAATGCATGTACAGACTCCACTTTGTACTTTTATACATATACAGTTATCCTACTTCTTAATTGTTGGGTAGGCACGATACAAACAAATCAGTGGCCAAGCCTCAGGCTACTTAACGAGTCTGTCTCTATTTCAACAAATCTAATCTACCCTGCAGTAACGGATACTTCAGATTCCCTCAAACAAAAAAATTCTTGCCGTTTCGAGGTTTTCGTTTTCAGAAAGAATTTGCGTTCATTTGATAATCACCGACATCCAATTTGTTAATTAGTTCAATTTTTATTTAATTCATGCAAAAGTGACCACAGCAAATTAAAATGAAATCATTAAATAGAAAGTTGAAAAATCTAAGAATTATAAAATTTGTTTCTGAAAAATTTGTTTCAAGGGACTGACCAATAAAGATATGGGAGTGACCTCTTTAATTTGCATATTCCTTCACTGTACACCTGGTACAGTTATAATTTCAGTATACAGAAAATTTAATCATTCTCCCAACCTATTAAACATTTCCCATTGCACAATTTACCACAATATAAAAAAAATAGTTTGTTTGTCCCCTGCACATAAACAGCTCTCCATGTTTATCTAAACATTAGAAGTAACTGCACTGTGACCGACCCTTATTCTGGCCACCTTGAATTCAACAGTATAGGTATAGAAGCGTGACAGCTAAAGCAAAGAGAACAGCCGATTCACTTCATTGTAAATGGTGATGTTGAAAAGAGGTTTACGTTCCTCTACACAAAGAAGAACATTAGCTATATTGTTGGATGTAAATCACTCAGCTTGTACTAACCTATTCTTTTCAAAGTTCTACCCATTTAATTGTGCCATCCTTTTCCCATATGAAACGAACACATCCCACCTTTTAGGATAACATTTCATTAACTAGTTGACTAGCTTTTACTTAATTTCATTTTTATTTAATTTACACTTTTTTTTTTCACCAAACAATCTAAATTCTGTTCAAATATAATCAAACGGTATATTTTTCAATTGATCAAATCATCTGAAAATATCCGTCAGTCTTTCATGAATATTTGAGAATCACTCTTTCAAATATTATTTAATATTTATATCTTTAAAATAAATTATATTTATATTTCCTGAATGGTAGCAGCTTTTGAGGGATTTCATTAACCTTTTGACCTTTCACAAAATAAAACCTACAATTTGTTTTCATCTTTTTTTATAATTTTTGTTCAAGTATTGTGGCCAATAGGAAATTATGTTCCTTCCATCCAAAATTAACAAAATAATTGTAGAAAAACACATAAATATGAGAAAAATGAGACACCAGAATATGAAAAATGGTGCTCAAAAAAATAGATATAACATCAAGACATAATAACAGACTTCTCTTGTCTGAAATCTAACATTTATCTACTGAATGAATATTAAATATAATTTTCAATATAATTCAGTTATGAAGAAAAATAGTGTGGTTACCTGACAATTTTACAAACTTGGCAAAATTTTTATTTTGTTTCACTGGTTTCTATGGTGAATGAATAATTCAATTTGTCTAAAGCTGTTCACATCATAGAGGCATGAGATGAACAAGACATACATGTTACAGATATGGTCGCTAAAAACTTTTTTTTCAAAATAAATGCATTTTTGCGAGTTTCCAGTGAAATATTAATATTAATATTAATATTAATAAGAATTAGTTGAGCTGAATTATTTGAACTTGAAGTATTTTTTTTAAATAATATTCTTTTGATAATCTGTGTCAGAAATGTATTTTAAATAAATAGTTGAGAGATAATAAGTGTAGGTCTTTGTCTGACTCTTAAGTTAATTACTTTAAGTAATTAACAGGTGATGATTGGCCGTGACAGTTATATTGAATAATCATAACTTGTGAATTTTGTGAGAAAAAAAAGACAACACATACCTGATACAATCTGCACATACCCTGCAAACAGCGCTAGAGTTTTATGAGTATTCGTGTGACAGAATAAACTGATCAGCGAAAGAAGTGATCCCAATACACACATTATACAGCCACCTCCAAAAAGTACCACTGCAGCCTGCCACACGCCAACGGGCAGGGTCATCAAATCAAACCTACCTCCACCAAATATGTGACAAACGATACCTTCCCTGGGATCGTGTAAACAGTAACTATATAAACCGAAACTGGCCAAGTTCAAGCCATCGGGTTTTAAAAACCATGTCGGAGCCACGAAGCTGACACAGCAAGCCGCAGCTAAGGCCAACGACATAAGGGTCCAGAATACTGCGAGCGGTGTCATTGTCAGAGTCAACATCGCAAAATCCACGTCAGCGCAAGGCAAAACTTTTCTGTAGCTTATTTCCAAAAAGGAGCAACTTGATGATACGCTACATCACGGTAGTTACACACAGTCGTGAATGATGAACCCTCTCTTCGAATAACGATTATGCTTCGTAGTGACGGCGTCCTCTTGCGACCCTTTCAAAGTTCAGACGAAATTGTTACCGCGGCCTGGTCAAATATTGTTAGTGTACGCAGAGAAAACACGCAAGGCCGCCACTCCTATCCTAGTACAATGTGTATGTGTTACTTTTTAAATTTTTTACATAAAAATACTATTGAGTTCTCGAGTAGACACTTGTAGTTGAGCGATTCCGTTGCCGGAGGGCGCAAATCCATAGTGTGACGAAAATCCTCCGAGCGACGATACAAAAGTCACAGAGATCGTTGGGGCTACGATATCATTATCATCAGTGCGATTCCGTTGAACAACTCTATGGGAGCTAATTGGAAATAAACGCAAAATATGGTTGGTAAATCCTCGCTTTCACACCACTTGGCTATGTTTCACGCACCATGTAAGTCCCACTCTACCATACGATGAGTGAAGCACCTGCCGGCAACGTTGTGAGTAGATACGCTCACTCCCGCTGTACGACTATGAATGAAGTGCACATTTTATTTTTACCCGCCATGCATCGCGTAATTGACAAGTCTCGCAAACTCTCGCGAGTTGGTGTGTATCGTGAGAATAACCGAACTTTAACCCCTTGACTGAAGTCTTTCTCGTTCTCAAGTGCTTTTCTATCACTGTTTCTTCGCAAAAAAGTATATCTTTATTACAGTTTGTTTACGCTGAGAAGTCAGTTTTTAACAGTGTGTGATGTAAAGACCCCGGAACAGTCGAAACGAGATCGCGAGAAAATCCAGTATGGCGACTTCCGCGATCGTTCACTTCCTTCGTGATTTTTTTCATTGAATAGTCTTGTTTATTTCGCAAAATATGGATATTTTTCCAGTGTAGATCCGACAAACTTACTGGGGATTCGATCCAGTGGAGATGCCGTTCTTCAAGAGAAAGTCTGGTAAGTGCATTTCTTTGTGCATACATAACTGTACGTAACAACATTGACGTCCTTTCAAATCTTTATGCCTGAATCGCCGATAATTACAATGCAAGGTCAATCGGTTACCCCAAATAAAAATAACTTATTGTACAAACCATGTTGTCCTAGACTGTACAATGAATGAAAATCAAGTTGAGATGACAAGACGGTAATTATGAATGTGGGGGTGTGTGAACAGCACTAAAATTGGTGATTGATACATTGTTACATGCAAGAGGGGCGTTATTATTAACTGTGACATACATCTGAGTAAGGTGAACACTAAATGTGGGGCACTGTTAATGCCTCGGCCAAATTCCTAGAATGGATGTTAGTACACTGTAGGTTGATACAAGATCCAATTCAGGGGTGCCTGCCAATCATGTTGCTCTATCTGGTTACTGCACCCCACATTTTTTTAGGAAGCTTTGAACCAGATACAGATATATTTTTTTGCCAAAACTTAACAACCACCCACGGTTACTAGAAGAACGGTGAGGAAACTCTCTCACTTTGTTTGTTAGAATGCGTGTCTTGGTAAACATTTAAAAAGGGAATTAGCATACTGTTGGCGTTGCGGCCATCTTCATTCCATCGATTGGGGTTTTCTATTATGTTTTTTCAAAACTAATTTTACCGATTTATACAACATTGTCAGGATTTAGTAGGAATATGAACACTGAAATAAAAAATATATATTCATATTAAAGATATTCTATCTGGTAGTAAAATAAAATGAAACTGGCATTGTTCGAACTATCGTAGTGTAAAAGACTTATGAAACTTTCGGAGATGCATTTTTGGAGTACAAATCTTCGTTTGTTGGCCATCAGTAGACGCCAGACTTACGATCGCCCTACTGAAACGATGAAATTTTTTTACATTAACGTAGTATTCAACTCACAGAAATGAGAACGATGTAAACTATAAATATTAATTTAACATTGCGTTGTACTAAAATATAATTTAGTTTTTAGCAATTTTTCCAAATTGTTATGACAAAGGCAGCCAAAATGGCTGACGTTGCTAACCTCAACAAAAAAAACGTTATTGTCTAAAGTTACGATTGAAACAAGTTATGATAATCGTAACACAACATTAAAATACCCAAACAATAACGTAGTAACAAGTACTGATATTTCAGAACATTCGCAGACAGGGTTTTGGGGTACAAAATGCCATGTTCAATTTCAAATCACAGACGACAAATCTGTCAACAAAACAAACTCTCGGTATTTTCATTTTTTTGAGAACAACAAAACCTCAAGTATCACATTCGCACGGAAGTTGGTGATGCTTCTACGTTGATCTTTCGGCTTAATGAGCTTTATTTCTTCAATTTAGTGGACACACATGGAAATGAACAGGGATACACATGTAAAAATATAAACGATGATATTATAGTGGTTGGACTAGAATCAAAGTGAAGTCAATGGATAATTAGTATATCTGAAGTTTCCTAACCGTTCTTCTAGTAACCGTGAACCACCATAGCATAGACTCAGTTCCAGTCTCTGGGTTTCTGAACTAGTGTTACTCTGCTACAAGAGACTGGGGAAACTTGGACATACTCTTGTCTGTCAATCATCTGAAAATGTGAGAATAAACGATTTTACCGTAACTAAGTTTTCACCAATAAGGTGTTTGATTTATTCTTGTGGAAGTAGAGTGCCATCATTTTAGTGCAAAGTAATTCATAGCTACTCATAGTATATACAATGTATATATTCAGTATACTCATTGATATTTTGATTCCCAAACCAAGATCATCTTTCAATTTTAACAGTACAGCTGCAAAGTTTCTCCAGTATGTGTCCCACAGCATGACTTATTGAGTAGCAGTGTACACATGCAAACTGAAATATGCAACAGAACATAGACTAGAAATAGTGAGGTTTCACAAGTCATGAGATGCAGTTGAGCTGGACATTGTTATTATCTGCACACTTTGATCTACTTCATGTGTTGAACAAATTTCTATGATTACTTACTCTGTCGGACACTAGAGGATACAAGGACAGGCAACTGTGGTCATTTATTTGATGTAATGTCTCTTGGGTTTCAAATGTGATTTAAAACATTCAATGTACAAATATTCTACGACAAATTGCATCACACATGCACAAAATCTGTGAAAATATTAATTAGGTTTTCTGACTGACAAATTTAAAAACAGTCTACCTTAGCACTATTCTCTATGAAACTACTTGAATGTACATACCTATGTATATCCATGCTCTCTAACCCCAACCCCTTAACCCTAATTCGTATTGTACATACCTATGTATATCCATGCTCTCTAACCCCAACCCCTTAACCCTAATTCGTATTGTACATACCTATGTATATCCATGCTCTCTAACCCCAACCCCTTAACCCTAATTCGTATTGTACATACCTATGTATATCCATGCTCTCTAACCCCAACCCCTTAACCCTAATTCGTATTGTACATACCTATGTATATCCATGCTCTCTAACCCCAACCCCTTAACCCTAATTCGTATTGTACATACCTATGTATATCCATGCTCTCTAACCCCAACCCCTTAACCCTAATTCGTATTGTACATACCTATGTATATCCATGCTCTCTAACCCCAACCCCTTAACCCTAATTCGTATTGTATAAACCTAATGCATGACTAACATGGTGGCCTATGACAAAACTACTACAATTCCTATTCTACACCAGTGTTGGGAATAAAAACCTATATTTAGTATGAAAAACTAATTTACATCAGCAGTATTACAGTACAGTACAGACTGAACGTAACTTAACATTTAGCTTGTGTTCAACTGACTTATATATAGTATACAATGTACCGGTACATGTAACTTGCTTTTAAGATGATCATATATTCCAAAACACTAGATATATCTAGTTGTACAGTAATCTAAATATGTCTCATTGTAGTAACTTTGGTAAATACATCAAAGTATAAGTTGAAATTATTTAAGACACACTTTGTTTTATGGAAAGGAAAAGCCAGCTTAGTGAGTTAAGCTTGGTCTGTACTGTCTGTCATGTTGATGTCATAATGTCTTAGTACATAGAAAGTGAAGGATACAGCATTGTCTATCTTATTAATAATTTGAAACACTAGAATTCATTTTATGCTGCAGTGATGTGAAAATGATCTGACTTGTTATACCTAGTCAAAGATGTTACAGTTTTTGGCTCAACGGACCATAGGTCCACTGAGCCTATGGGATGGTTTTCTGTCCTGTGTCTGTCGTCCGTCCGTCTATCTATCTATCTATCTATCAAGTACATTATGGTGCATATAATGACGGTTAATTAATATTGTCATTTTGGTTATGATCATTTGTAGAGAAAACAAACGATGGCTCTGTCAAGCAAGGCAATAACAAGAATAAACACCCTGTAAAGAATACACCCCCATCCAGCAATACACCATCACCAGTGCACCATCCCAGTAATTCACAACACATGGCCAATGGCATACAAAGTAGAGTTATATCGGATGGTGCTGACATTAGCAGTGTTGGTGCTCGACCTAAGGTTCCATTATTACGAGATAGAAGTAAACAAGAAACTTCAGTTGGAGACCTGGGAATAGGTAAGATATGATGATGTTCTTCTGGACAGTTAGTTTCAGCATTCATGATAAATTTCATTGACAATGTTATAAATTAAATCAATATACGTATGTAAAAATGAGAATTTTAGACCTTATAACTACTAGTATGATTTACCATTGAAACAAAACCTACAATATGTGAATAACAGCTGTGTCTGTTGTCAAAATAAGGCATACATGTATTTTAGTATATACTAACTGTAAGTTTTTTTCCATGTGAACTTCTGAAAGAGCAAATATAGCGCACATTTAATAGTGGAAATACTTTAATACTTTTGCATAAAGCTTTGCAAATCTGAATCTGTCTTAAGGTGGTTTTCTGTCATTAAAACTTATCACTGGATTTTCTTGACTTTTACTATATATTTTGATTTTAATGATGTTAATTACACAATCCAAATAAAAGGTATGGTCACCAAACTACTATTTGCACAAAAAATGTGTCAAACACCCATGAAAATTGTGATTTTTTAACCATTTCTTATTGGTTTCTATGGTTAAAAAAGTTACGTCAAACTTTTGTTTGGATACATCATATGTGATTATGAAATTGGTACTTGGATAAGTTGTCTTGGACACGTTGTCTTGGATAATTGTGAAATTATGGTGAATACTATTTATTTTATAGAAATGCTAGTGATGCTCCAACATAGTTTCTATTGAAATAGTTCCAATAGTTCCCATTTTTGTATGTTTTCAAACAGTTTTTCTCCAAAAAATTATTTCCTACTCAGTGAAATATTCCAAAAGTCAATGACTTGTGTCTAAATCAACAACTACATGGTTGTAAAATTTTTGAAATGAATATGTTAATGTATGTCAAATATTAATGAAGAATCTTAAACTAGTTTAATCTTGTTTTGTAATTGTTTTGTTAACAGGGTATGAAAGTCCAACAAGGTCATCAGTGCAGAAATCTAAATCACGATTATCTAAACCATTACAAGAAGTGCTTTATGACAGCCATGGTGCATTGCCCTATTTGATTCAGTTTATGAGTGCACAAGGATGCCCACAATTGGTACAATTTTGGTTGTCAGCGGAAAGCTTTGGGTCAGCTACATGGACAAAACTACGTGCAGAGTCATTGCATTCTGTTAGTAAAAGTACTGTTAGTAATAGCAGTGATGTTAAAGTACAGCAACTGGAATCGATTTTAAGCAATAAACATAAGGAACATGCAGCGAGTGAAAAAAATGTGGGAAATTCACATAATAGTGAAACCACTGAACAGAATTCAACAGACCCAGGATCGGGCACAGAATTAGCACAGAAATTGAGGGAATCATCACTTTCTAGATGCACAGACAGTAGTACATCATGTAACAGTGATACTAACCATAATTTAAATAAAGACATTATTAGTTCAGTCTCATGTGAGGATAAATCAGCGGCAAAACTAAAGAAAGGTCAGTATATTGTGTTTACAGTGTGTAAACAAATTATGAATTATTATACTGGATGAATGTTGTGCAAGAGTACAGGATAATGTCAGGTAAATGTTTATGTATGAAGGCACAAACTGCCATACAGTATTTGTATTTCCTGTATATGCTTCTCTGTTGATATGTATGAAGTTTGCAGTGTTTGCCACTAATATCAGAGTCAATGATCTATAGGGCCTGCAAGTTGAAAGATTTGTTGGCCGTGCTTGAAGTGTTGATGCTCCCCCAAATATATGAACACAAAATAGAGATCTATCTATCTATCTAAAAAACTTATATAGCGCCAGTATCCAAAACTAAGTTTTGTTCAAAGGCGCTGAAAGCGAACACTACAGTTATTCCACACTGTAGGCTTTGCTGAACAATAAGGTCTTAAGTCTCTTCTTGAATATATTGACATCAGTAACTTCACGAAGATCAAGTGGAAGGTCATTCCAGAGTTTTGGAGCAGCATATGAGAAGGCACGTCCACCATATGTTTTCTGTCTGTAGTTAGTGTTATGGAGAAGCTTCTTATTGGAAGAACGAAGACAGCGACTGGGTGTGTACACATGAAGTAGATCAAGAATGTAGTTTGGAGCAAGTCCATTCAGAGCTTTGAATGTCAACAGAATAAGTTTGTAGTCAATCCTATAACGAACAGGTAGCCAATGTAACTTCTGTAGAACTGGAGATGTGTGATCATATTTTCTAGTGCGGGTGATGATTCTTGCAGCAGTGTTTTGAGCATGTTGAAGAAGATTGATGCCATTGTCCGGCAGTCCAAATAATAATGAATTCCCATAATCAAGCTTAGCAGATAGAACAGCATGAATTAATGTCTGGCATTAATGTGACCGATGCGACGAAGATGGTTGTAGATGAATCTGCAAGTAATCTTGATGTGAGTGTTGAACATACGAGTATTGTCAAAAGTAACTCCCATGTTACGAGCAGATGTGACTGGTGCAATTGAACTGGTACGAATGAGCAGTACTTCAGTCTTAGAGTCGTTGAGTTGGAGCTTGTTTTGCATCATCCAGTGTTTAATATCAAGCGCACAAGCCTCAATTGAGGCTACAGCCGAGATGGAGTCCTTGCGAGTGAAAGCGAGATAGAGCTGGTTGTCATCAGAATACTGGTGAAAGTCTAAGTTGTGTTGACGAATGAGTTTACCCAAGGGGGAAATATAGATGGTGAACAGAATAGGGCCAAGTACAGAGCCTTGTGGTACCCCAAAGTGAAGCTGAGATGGCTCACCAGTGACACTTGAAACTGAAACTGATTGACATCGATGTTGAAGATATGATTCAAACCACTGGAGAGCCATATCAGTAACACCAAGATTGGACAGTCTGTTGAGCAGAATATTGTGATCGATGGTGTCAAATGCAGCTGATACATCCAGGAGACAGAGTAATACGTAGTTACCGGAGTCAATGAAAGAACAAATGTATATGCTTCTCTGTTGAGATAAATAGATGCAAGTTGAGGTAATGTGTAATTATGTCGACTTGCAGAGTAATTTGTCACAATGAATTCTGTCATCCTGAACATTAATTTTATTTTTAAAGTCAACAGACTTGAGGAGCTGGCTTGTCAGGCCAGCATGTTCTTAAACTTGTCAGCATTTTGGTAAATTTCTAAGCTCCAAACCCAGGTGTCTGCCCTAATTTTGATTGCTGGAAGTTTGCTCTCCTAAACAATTACAGCCATCAATAGTTTTAATAAATTTCAGTTGAATTGTGATAGCATCTTTAAGCAACTGTTTGTTGTGTAGATACAAACTATCATATGTTCATAGTTTCTGTTGGCATAAACAACATGGCAATAGCATAGTATAACAGTAACACCCAATACGAGTACAGTGCTCATTTAGCT